GTGCTTATATATTGGATTTTAAAATTAAAGTGCAGAGTTTGTTTGTTTCCAGAGTTTCTTCCAAACAGATTATGAAAATAAATGAACATTATTGAAACTAAACAAAATATTTTAATTTAATACTGTGAAGAAAGAAACATATATCAGTTAAATTTTCTCTGACAACTTAAATTACATCACCGAAACTCCTACAACAGATAGGGTCCTGCTGTCCTGAGCAGCATTAAGTAAGGATAATTTTCACAAAACAATGAATTTTTGAGTAAGTCCTCTAACAAACTAAGCATTAACACTAACTTGTCATAATTTTCCTTTTTAAAAATCCAGCATGTTGTTCCAGCATTGTCACCAGAATAATTATAATTTATTATGATCTCTCCCTTTTCCCCCTTCCCATTAATATTGTATCTCCTTTGACTCCTAAAAAATCCCCTTTAAGAAGGTTTGTTAAGCAAAGAACAGTATTGTACTATCTTCTCTTCTCTGTAGGATTTGCTTCATAATTGTCACTATAAAGTTCTTGGTTTAAGTGTTTGGTAAATCTCATAATTTGGGAGAGAGGAGTAGCTGAAATTAATTATTGGTTTTTCTTCTAATTCTTTTTACTTTCTATAACATCAGGTTGCAGCAAAAAGTTAACACAAACAAACCTTGATTTGTTATAGGAGACCCCGAGAATTATTTTTGAATTTCTTCATACCATTTGACCTGATTTTGTTATTGATGTTTCTTGAAAGAATCAGTGGGAAATAGAAAATTTCAAAAATGTTTATGCCATTGAAAATAACCATTTATTGACCTTTTTTCTAGAAGTTGTCTTACTATTTTTAGGTGAGAATAGGCTAGTGGAAAACCTCACAACCTAAGATAAATTTGCTTAAAAAATTGGGAACTTCTTAAGTTCTAGGGAGTAGTTAGTATACAGTAGGCATCTCTAATACAAACATTTCTAGCATTGGCAATAATTTTATATTTTAATGTCATATTAGTTTGCTATTGTTGTATAATAAATAACTACAAACTTAGCTTAAAACAACATGAATATTATCTCACAGTTTCCATAGATCAAGAGTCTAGGCACAGCATAGCCAGCCACTCTGCTAAGGGTCTCACAAGGCTGCATCAAAATTTTATCCAGGCTACATTCCTTGTTGTAGCTCAGGGTCCTCTTGCAAACTCTTCTGACTGTTGGCAGAATTCAGTGCCTTATAGCTTTAAGACTAAGGTCCCAGCTTTCTTACAGCTGGTTGTCAGCTAGGGGTCCCACGTAGCTTCTAGAGGTCTCTGCAGTTCCTTGCAATGTGACCCTCTCACAGGCACTTTTACAGCATGGCAGCTTACTTTTTCAAAGCCAACAGGAGAATCTCTCTGACTTCTAGTCCCTCTTTTAAAGGGCTTACCTCATTAGGTCAGACCCACCCAGGATAACTCTTTACTTAACTAAAGTCACCTGATTAGGGACCTTAATTACACCTTCAAAAGTTCCTTCACCTTTGCAGTATACCAGCATAATCACAAATGGCATCTATCATACTCACAGGTGCTACCCACATTCAAAGGGAGAGCGTTATACAAAGTATGTACCCCAGGGGCCAGGAACCTTAGGGCCATCTTAGAATTCTGACTATCAAACACTAATGATTAATCTAATAGAATGTTGGTGAATACTATATTTGGCCTGTACTTTCAAGGTTGTCCTGTTGGACTTCTCACTTACAACCTCCTCCAGACATCAGGGTCACTGAATTATTAGAAAATTTCATTTATGTTTGCCTTTGTTCACTGAACACTATTTGAAATGGCTCAGGTAGTTTAGAAAAATGGCAAAGTGGAGAGAAATTCAGAATGTCCGATGGTTAAAAAATCAATGACAAGCCAAAATGCTTCTTAAAATCCATCTCCTTTTTACCACCATTGGGATTTTTATAGCAACCATTGGGATTTTTATAGCACTCAATAGGAGGAAATGTCCCATTGAAACAAAACATTATGCTAAATTTCTGCTTCTCATTCTATAAAATTCTTTTTTACATATTGAAAGGAACTTTGAAGGAACATTTTGTCTGTTCCAGAAAAAGGATGATGTTAATTTATCTATAATCTATTCTAAAAATCTGATAATTCTAAAAATACATTGAAATTAAGGTTTTGATTCATTAAAAGAAAGCCAAACAGTCATTAATCTGTACAGTAATTGTATAACAGTTGTGTATAGCTAATTGGTAACAGAAATTTTAATAAGAAGTTCATTTTTAAAATAACGTACAGAAACCAAATTTGATTTCAAAAACAAAAGTCGAGATTAATGTTCTCTCGCTTATTAATATAAAGCGGTTTACTAACATTTTAAAATTTCATCTAATCAATTAAGTATATGAACCAAATTAACCAAAACATACATTATGCATATAGAGAAAATATTAAAGTATATAATAAGGAAGTATGTTCAATATGGGTCTTTAAAAATTGAAAACACAAAGTAATTTTGAGATTCATGACCGCCTTAGGGTTCATATTACTTGACTATGATAAATTTAGACAATTATACATAGTTTGGCTTGTCCTTCTTGCACTGGACATTATTTCTTCTCTCTTTAACCCTTTCAAGGCAGATTTGAATTATGCTGTTTTTGAACCCATTTATCCACTTGATGATTCTTGATGCTTCTTATTGCCTAAGTTTAATTTCTGCTTCCCCTTTTATAAGGGTAAATAGTGGATTTAAATCATGTCAATATTTCTGCAGTATTTAGAATAACAAGAGTTGGAATATATGAACTTTTCAAAAATGATAACTCTCCCTTGAGTTCAACCATTTGCTTTCTTTAATAAAGTTAGTTTAGATATTGCATTTTATCAGTGATTCCATTGTCTGAAAAAAATTCTGCCATCTTAACAGTTTTGACATTTTTATTTTCTGTTCGATTTCTGTTTCATAACATGTAATTCAGGCATTTGACTGAGTTTAAGTCAGTGGACTGGTTGGCAGCCTAAACATTTATTTGCACAGAAGAGGTTTGAAAGAATTGGGAGATTTGTTTACATATTGGTATCTCTTTATTTCTTTCCTTTAATTTTTAATTTGACCTCTCCTCTCTAATGTAATTATGTGATTAGACCTTAGGTTAGGTTACTTGCAATGAATGTTGATCTAAAACCTCAGTCAGTCCTGATTATGTTAAGACATTGGTATGGTGTGACTTTGGTTACTGATTCAACAAGCAAAGAAACATAGCTAGTCTGATTTAGTGACTTTGTTTTTAATTCAAATCACATAGATATTGATTTAGAATGGATCTGATCTAGATTTGTCAAGTTAGTATGAAATCACATACAACTTTTTATTGTCCTTATGTCTGACCATGCAAGTGTGCTCATCAATTAGCAGTTTGTTTTTTCTTGGAGTCAAACCCCCAAGTTTTACTGTATTCAAGCCTCTATTAGTAAAGCCACAGATAAAGCTGAGACCTGTATAAGTAGTTTAAATATCTTTTCAGGCCACTTGCTATGTTCCACGCCCTTTGTTAGATTCTGAAAATAGAGGGGGCAAAGTAGACATGGTCTCTGTCCTTACAGAATCTGTAGTCACACTCCAGGCTTATGTTGTAGAAGCTCATTAAGGAAATCTGTGATCATAAATAACAAAGCCATATTTACATATAGGCCAAACTAACTAAATTTCAGAACAGATCCATACCTGTAATGTGTTTGGCACAGTTCATAGTAGTTAGCAACTATTCAATAACAGTTACTTCCTAATATCATTATTATTTTTGTTATTTATTTTTCCAGTTGACCCAAATAATTATGTGGTCATAGGCAGAACACAACTTTTATAGACATGTATAAGTACAAGGAGATTTGTTGTTTGTTTGTTTTTTGACAAGAATACAGGCCAATTTTGCACTGCAAACTTAAGAGAACCCAAGTTGGTCCTATAATATGGAGACTAAGAGTTATTTCCTTTATTTTTATATCCAAGTTTTCATTGTTTTAATTGGCACCCTACCAAACTGATAGATGCCTCCAGTTGTGTATGTCAGCATAGTTACTGAGAACATTACAAATCCAGTTAACTACAAGGGACTATTTTCCCGTTATTTTCTTCTCAAAACATTCCCTGCGCTAGAAATGCTTTGAAACCCTTAGAAACTATAGTAAAAATACTATTTTTAAAAGTAAGCTTTTCTTGTATTTTCTTAACATAAAAGTAATATATGTTCATCATGGAAAAGGCAAATAAGCAAAATGAGGCAATGAAAATCACCTGAATCCAGCACACTGAGAGAACTACTATTACGGTTTATGCCTATTTCCTTCAAGTTCTTTCTCTTTACACAGAAAATATTTTTAAATGGCATCATCATGTAACATCCTATTTTATAATCACCTTCCATGTCTGTATTCTATGTCGTTAAATAAATATCTTTCCATGTGACTATTCTTTTACAGTATTATTTGCATCGATTCTATCAAATGCCAATTGTTGGGCATCAAGTTTATTTTTTACTTTTATCTTTTCATTTCTATTATAATGTATGGGATGAGCAAGTTAGTTATTGTCGAAGGCTTTTCTAATGTTCAAATAGTTAAATTAATTAAAATAATTTAAAGCATCTTTGGTATAAGGTCACTGGAAAGATGAAATAATTGGGATGAGGTGCTTCTATAGCCTCCTTTTTGAAAGGCCTCAGAGGCCATGGGCACATATAACAACTTTCAGGAAACACTGGGGAAGTGGCACTCTGTAATTAGAAAAACTCAATAACTCCAAAATGGACTGTGATTTGGTAGAATAAGTTGAAATCAATTACAATCTGACTTATCAGGAGATCGTTCTGTAACCTGTTTGTTCCTGTGACAAATTCGGAGCAATTCAAAACCAATTTTCCATTCATAAGTGGATTTCTTTTTTTGATTCTTTTAAGTTTGATCTTTTAGGTTGCACAAGCTGTTGTCGCACGAATTAAAGTGTGCTTATCAATCATCCTTCTTGCCAGGTCCAACCACACTGAAGAAGTCGGAGAAGTCTGGTTTTAGCAGCCCCTCCCCTTCGCAGACCTCCTCCCTGGGAACAGCATTCACACAGCATCACCGACCTGTCATTACGGGACCCAGAGGTGAGCTGCTCTACAGGCACCCTTGGTTGTGCATAGATCATGGCCTTGGGACCAGCATAGCAAAATGAGAGACAATGAAGACTCCCCCAGAATGCTCCTGAAGTCAGTGAGTGTTCCAATTTCTTATCCTTGGGGACAACTTTGGAATGTTAGCAACCAAAGAGATTTAACCTAAGGCGAAAAAGGGACCAAACCTCTTTCTTTGCCAGTATAGTGTTGCAAAGAGGTGGGAGGTAATCTGAATTGAACCAAAATCAAATTTTCCTACAAATTGTGCAGGAGGTGTAAGTGTGAGAGAGACAGACAGACAGACAGACAGACAGACAGACAGACACAGGTGAGTATATTTCCATGTAGTCAGTTACCTGTCTTCAAGTATAGTTGACTCCTGAGTTTAAAAAGAGTTTAAAAATCCACATGTAAGTGGACCCCCACAGTTGAAATCCAGGTTATTCAGAGGTCAACTGTGTTTTCAGTCAGTGGTTAGGATTCCAGAGGGTCAATTTGAGTTATATGCAGATTTTCAACTGTGTGGTGGCTTGGCGCCCCTAACCCCTACGCTGTTTAAGGGTCAACTGTAACTCTCTCGTCCCTGATGATACCCTTTCCTTGAAACCTAACTTCAATATGTGTCATTTTTCATTGAGGTTGTTTACATCATGGTGTTGACTGTTGACTGGCAGTCTTCATTCACTCCTTTTGAAGGGGTAGATAGTTTGTCTGGTTCTCATTGCAATGTTGTCATTATTTTTGTCCTGTGTACTTTCAAGATTATTATTAAAATGTGTCCACAAGAAATATGATTTGTATTTCACATTAAAGATAAGCTTTAAACCTCAAGAGAATGTCAGCAAGTCACTTAACTTGATCTTATTGCAAGATGAAAATATTTATTAGTTTGTTTATAAAACTCCCACAGTAGGAGTATGAATAATTGTAACCACGTTTGCTTTCTTCCATCAGATTTTTATTTAGGTAGGTCTGTGATCTACCAGCTGATATCATGAAACATCCTAGAAAGTATGGTCTCTCGTCTACTTTGACACATGCCTGAGAAAATTGATATTTCTTGCATTAATCTCACCATTAGTCCCACAAATCTGAATGCCTTTATGAATACTCTCTGTGCATCTCAGGGAAGTATGGCAGATGAGAGGACTATCTCATGCACAAATGCAGAAATCACAATGAAGAAAATAAGTATTCTGACTGTTGTGCGAAGGAATTTCTATATCCACAATTATGAAAACTTACTTACTCCATCTTTTTTCACTTGTATGTGTGTCTGATATAATCAGAAAGGAAATATATATGTACATATATATGTTCTAATTTGAAAACCTTGCATCTGAATTGGATTATACATCCCAGAATGCAGAATGAATCTCTTTAAGTGGGGTAGTATTATGATATTATCCTCATAGTCAATACTCATTAAACATCTAAACTGTGGTGGAAAATAAGAGATATGAAGCCCTTTTAGTCAGGAAGAGGATTTTTGGTCTCATGGAGATAAGGCACCTGATGTTTCTCATCTTTCTATTGTCAGATTAACATATTGTAAATGCTAAATGAATGTTAAAAGCAGAAATTTCTACAGGAGTTAGAGGAGGGTTCTATGAAGGTTTATTCATTCATTAACAAGGATTTCCTGAGTGCCTGTCACTGGGAATTAAGTGGTTCCTGTCCTCATAGAGCATACAGTCCGGTACAGGAGAGAGACACGAGAAAATAAGCAAAATAAGCATTTCGAAGATAGTGTGGAATGTACTGTTACTTATCACTTTGTATCAAACTTCAAAGTGTAGGTAACTTTTAAGTCAAATCTTAAAAGTTGCTTACATGAATGGAGGGCATTCCAAGCAACAAAAAGATTCGTGGTGTAGCAAGGATAATAAGGGTAATAAGGATAGAGAAGAATGATATGCTAGCTATCAGGACAGCTGAGTGAACTGCCTCTTTGCCTTTCCATTCACCTTCTGGATTTTTTAATGTCCTCACCAATAAAATGGGGACAATACTACTGCTGAATTCTTCCCAACTTCTTATTCTCATACAGAAACTACAATAAAACAATATCCATAGAGACTCTGAGGAACATAAAGCGATGTGCATATAGTATCATTTATTCAATAAATATTAAGAGTACTGTATATGAATCTTGCCTTAAAGCTATAGTTCTAGAAATAATTATAATGATTCTAGCATTTACCTGTGGATACTATAATTGGGAGCTTTTTCATGCCGAACAATTAGGCATATTTGCTAAAATGATCCACACTGGGTTGAACCACAGTGGATCTCCTTAGCCTATAGAACAATGAGTTTTGATCTCCTATCATATTCATGAAATTGTTTTTGAGGAAAAGAGAAAGATGCGTAGTTTAAGAATTATGGAATACCAAAGATTCTTTGTTTTCACCAGAATTCAAGATGGTTCCCAGCGTCCTCGGTTCTCCTTTCTGGAAAGTCTGCTCAGGTACCCATTCTTATTGCACCCTGCCCCCCTTAGTGGTCTGATGAAGGGAATTGGAGTAGTTGAGATGAAACTCTTCAGTGGCATCTTTGTGGTAAGAATCATAGAATTGAGATAGGCTAACATAAGACATTATTGGGCTAAGATATTTTTAAAAGGTTGGTCTTTAACCTTTTGTTATTTAAGAAATATTTGCTACGGGTACCATATTTCCTTTTATTGTTCTCTGAACTAGTTGGAAAACTAATTCTGGAATGACATCACATCTAGGACTAAGAGTTGATGTTTTAGGAAGATGAGGCCAGATTTAAGGAGGGAAAGTATTACCGAGGGAACAGGGAACGGGTATGGAATAGATGTGATGTATACATAAAGGATAATTTAACCTCACACACACCTTTTATTATGTAGAGTTGCCACAATCTGCAACTTAAATCACTAGAGAATCCAGACAGACAAACTTCCAAAGGGCCTGGAAGAAGGAAAAGGTGTATCCTTTATCAAGGTCCTGGGACATGGGGCCAGGAGTGCTTTGTACTGCACTGTTGCTTAGTCATGTGGTATTTTCAATTCTAGCACCCAGGGTGCAAGACTTCTGCTGCCTTTCTTAAAATTCCTTAAATTTCTCATGGAAGTACCTTGACTAGACAAATACCAGTTTGTAAGCAATACTGTGTAACATATCTCAATGCCCAGGCCAGAGGTGATATTTTAACAGAGCTACAGCACAGCAAGGTCACCTCACTGAGAAAAAAAAAAAAGTGGCCCTATTTTTCATTGTGAACCTAAGCTATATTTGGAAATTTACAAAGGAAACCTTTCTTTGAAGATTACAAAACAAAGGCAGAAAAATAGAGCCTTGAAGGGAGGCAGCATTGCATACTGGTTAAGCACAAAAGCTCAGGGGTCAAAAGGACCCGACCCATGTTTGAAGCCTGTCTCCGTCCTTTTTACCAGCTATGAACCTGGTACATTGCTTCTCTGAGCTATAAGTTCCTCATCTATAGGTTAGAGATTATAATCTATACCTTAAGAGAATTCTATAATGTAAGGAGTAGGTAAAATCATGTATTTGTAGTCATTCTTACTACAAATAGAATTTGAACTTAGGTCATGCAGACAATTTAATCACTCATTTACACCCAGGCTTTGAAAATCTCATGCTGTTCACTGCTGCCTTCGCCTGTCAACATTTTACCCATCCCAAGACCAGTTCAAGTACTACTTCCTACATGAAACTTCTTCAACTCCACCCATGCTGCCATCATCTCACGCTCCTTAAATTTCTGTAGCCTTTCATGTTTGCACATTTCCTCTCCCAGTGCTGTCTTGTTTAGTTAATGTACATGTCTCGTCACTCTCCTAGAATAAAACTTCTGAAAGGAAGGCTAACTTATACTTAAGGGTATCTTCATTTTGTCTTACACAGTGTTTTATACACAAATATTGATTGAATAAAAAGCATTCAAATTGTACATAAGTGTACACAAAAGATATTCATCCCCTCCCTGAAACTGATAGGTTCTCATTGCCTCAGATGAAATAAGGGTGATAAATATATAATAATGTATAGAGTACTTCCTTATAAGGAATGTCCAAGATAGGGAAGAACCATGGCCTTTCATCCGAAGAAAACTTTTGCAAGATTATATAAGTAAAGCTTTGATATGCTATGAAAAAGCTGTGGCTTTTCTTATTTTTTGCTGATCTAATCACTTCCCTATTTTCATCATCGTGAAGGTAGAGATGTGTGGTTTCTTAAAACGAATCTCCTTTCTGATATTGGATTTCTTTGTGGCTTTGAGGAATCACTTAACCTTGTGGCCCTCAGTTTGGTCATCTGTATCATGGGATAATACTTTGCCACTTATGTAGTTAAAATTAGGTAAAGGGGTTAAAGTACTTTGGAATATCTGGGGGAGTAAAGGAGATATTAAATTTCAGCATTTGGATGTCACTTTACATTATTACAATTACTGTGTACTTTAAGCAGAAAGATTAGGTTTTCAAAGACTTTCTCTTACCAGTACTTAAAATTTCAACCGTAATAAAGTATTTAATCATGAAAATTTGTCTTATTCATGATAATTGAAAAAAAAAAATCTTTGTCCTGCCCTTTGCCTTTTCCAGGTTTTTAAGTTTGCCTGAGAGTGATTGAAAGGCTCTAACTCCTTTTGAGAATTATTTGGAGTAATCATCAGTGATATTTTAGAGTTTCTTGAAAGTTTGTCTTCTTGAAGCTTATGTTTCTGCCTAAGTCTTTGCCCTTTTCAAAAAAAAAAAATAGTGAATGATACTTAATGTAAATGATCTGCACCAAGTACAGTAACTCTGTGCTTTAGGGATTCAGAAATGGGGGAAGAGCTCCACTATACACATTGTGAGGCAGAAGTTGAAAGTAATTGGCAATTAGACACTTGTTCAACTTCACCTAGAACCACAGAATTTCAGAATAGTGTTCTGAGAATCTTATGGTCTAATCAATTCCTTGTATCAGCTAAGAATGTGTCTGGCTGTAAGTAAAAATATGACTAAATGGGTCATATTTTTTTCACGTAAAAACAAGTATGTGATTCAAGGACTGAGATTTCTTCTCTTAGTCATGCTTTGGTGGATCATTTTCATCCTCATACTGTGACCTCATGGTCACAATATAGCCACTGCCCTCCTGCCTTGCATCTGCATTCCAAGCAGAAAGATAAAAAGAAGAGGCAAGAGCAAAACGTGCCTACGAGCTCATTCTGCCACCTAGTGTAGAATCTTACACTGCATGGTTAGAACTGTGCCACATGATCACCTCTAGCTGCAAGAGAGGCTGGAAAATCTAGGATTTTTTTTTTTTTTTTTTTTTGCTAAGCATACTGCCACTCTTTATAAAATTAAGGTTTTATAAGTAGATAAATAGAAGAGCAATATGATAGCAGTTAGTAAGCATTGCATATTACTCTTACAGATGAGAAATCTGAGCTGGTCAGAGCCAAGACTAGAAATCAAGTCTCCAGTGCAGTGCTTTTTCTACTATATCAGTAGGTTCTATCTGTTTACACCTGACTTGGAGAAATAAAATGCATTTATTTAAACAATTAGCTTGTTTTTACATTTTTCATTAGTCAAAGACAATACATACCATTTAGATCTTTTGATAAGCATGACGTAACCATGTTATCACACGCTGTTTTTTAGTAACGGCCATAAACAGATCACTTGGCCTTTTTCATTAGCACTATGAATCCTTGCTACTTATAATGCAGGATTTCTATTAGGTGTAAGTCACCTCAGAAAACAATGTTTGAGGTAAACGTGGCTTTTTTAAATATTGAAATTAGTTTGAAGACTCCCATTACTGTCTGGGGACCCATTTATGTTTTCCACAAATATTTATGTACAAGGTGCTCTACTGCTTGCTGAATAAATGGGAAAGCTTGGATTCTGGCCTCAGAGTGCTTGCCACCTGGTAGATGACAGGACAAGAAAACCAGCAGTTGTATTGCTGTGATAGGGGGAGCAAGGAGTGCTGTCAGGGATAAGGGCATCCTGATAGAGAACTATTGTGTCATTTGACACTGTACAAGTCCAAACGAGCATGAGACTTAACCCCTCTTCTCAAACAGAGTACCTTCTCATTGTGAGCATGCAAAATAAAGCCACAGCAGACAAGTCATGCTTTCAGGTAACTAAGTACTGAGGAAATGAGAGGTACAACTAAGTACTGAGGAAATGAGAGGTACAACTAAGTACTGAGGAAATGAGAGGTACAACATGCTTTCAGGTAACTAAGTACTGAGGAAATGTGAGCAGGAGGCTAAACCTCCACTTCTTTGAGTCAAATATACACATACACAAAAGGGAGTTTAGAAATAAAATTGCCCTGATTCTGAAAATATGGGTAAGATATACTAAAACAATAGCCATATCAACCAAAATTTTTTGTGCAGCCTTCAAAGAATCGTTCCAGTTTTTGTTTGGAGTGGTAGTCAGAAGTTCACATGCTCTGTAAACCTCTTTAATTCCATGATCCTGTGGCCAAACAAGGAACCCACTCTTAGTGATGAAACCTATGAGGGTCTGCAGTTTAACAGTGTCTCCCAGCTGGGCCAAAAAATATATACTGAGGAGAATTATGAGAATGAAGATCACCTCCCAGGAAGTTGAGGTCACGAGGTAGGGTGGAGGAGTGTAGATTTATAGACAATAATAGAGGAGCAAGGAAGGAGGGGTAAAATAGGAAAGCAACAGTTATCCCTAGATAGCGGGGCCTGTTAGAGCAGGGGCCACGTCTTTATTCTTCTTCCTTGTATCCCTCCGCCTTGTATCTGGCGTAAGGAAAGCACTCAATAAATATTTGTTGAATAAATGAATGAATGCATGGATTTGATTGAAGGCAAAACAAAAAGTTCGGGAATAACAGGGGAGTTCTTTCCATGCCCCACGTGTAATAATAATATATTATTCAAGTCCATGTATTTTTAGCAGCATTGACGGAGGCGCATAGCATGTTGAATAAATGCTCAATATATATTTGCTTAGTTCTAATTAAGAACTTCTATCTTGATAGTCATCAAGGAAAATGCTGAGCTCCAAATGATTTGGTCTACTTTTTATGGAATATTCCATCCAAACTAAGGACTCTCCCGAAGGAGTATTCCCTAGTGCTTTATTGTTATCATGCCATGGTGCCCCTCCCTTGGCAGAGGTCACTATACCTAAAGTAGCAAATTTGTTTAGCTCTCTAGTATCATATCTGCAAAGTTCTGTGCCTTTTAGGAAAGCTTTTCACTTAGTTGTAGAACGAGCTGGTGCCCCTTTCAATGGAGCCGAATCTAATTTTTCTCTCCTGGTTTAGTGCAATTGAATTATCTTAGGAAAATGAGAAGCAATTAAGTACCTGTTGCTAACAAGGCGCTGAAATAATCTGCCAACAGACACAAGGTGTTTATTTATTATTGGAGTATGTCATTTGAGAAAACATTATGTTGTCTTTCTACAAAAAGAATTGCCAAAAT